TTGGATTCATGATATGGAAATTATTGATCATAAAGTTGCTGAAGTGTGGTTTACATGGTGGAACAGACAGAGAGATAACCCTATAGCTATAAGAATAGATAGAATACTTGTGAATGAGGATTGGATGGAGAAATTTCCTAAAAGCTCAGCAAACACAATTTCTCCTGGGATGGGTTGATGTTGATTACTGATCCTGCATTGAAGACTCTTCCTAAACCTTTTTAGTATTTTACTTTGTGGCAGTCTCATCCTTCATATTTGAGTATCATTAAAGAGTCTTGACAAACTGAAGTTCATGGATTTCCTCATTATAATTTCTATGGTAAGTTGCATCAGGTTCGCCTGGGATTGAAGAAGTTGAATAGAGAAGCATATTCAGATATTTCCGGAAGAGTTAAAGCTGTTGCAGTAGCATTACAGGAGACTCAATGTGCAGTTTAGACTCTCCTACAACTAACTTGATTGATTTTGGAAAAGCAGAAGAGTCTGGAATATTTAGCATTAAGGCAAGCAGAAGAGTCTTTTTACAAGCAAAAGTCCAGAGTTCAGGTTGTGTAAAAAGGAGATGCTAATACTTCCTACCTTTATAAAAAACTCAAGGTTAGAACTCAGAGGAAGCAGATAACTAGGATGATTAATGATCATGGTGCTGAGATAACTAACATGAAGGGTATTGGGACATTGCAATTGAGTTTTATACTAAGCTGATTGGAACTGAGGATGCTAATGTGGAGAAACAGCCGATGGGGTTTTACAAAGCACTTATACAACACAGGTTAACATTAGAGGAGTGTGAGATGTTAATTGGGGGGTGGGGGGGGGGGGGGGTTAAGTAGAGCAGAAATCTTTCAAGTGTTTGAAAATCTGGGCAGAGATAAAGCCCATGGACCATATAACTTTCCTGCTGAGTTTTCAAGAAGCATTGGGATATTATTGGATATGAAGTTGAAGAGGTAATTTTATCTTTCTGATCTACTGGGCATTTACCTTCAATATTGAATAAAACCATCTTCACATTGGTTGCTAAATTGCCTTGTTCTGAGAGAATGAAGGATTTCTGACCGATATCTTGTTGTAATACATTGTAAAAGGGCATCTCTAAAATGCTTGCTAATAGTATTGCTATGGGGTTTCCTAGTGTAATTAGTAGGTCACAATTTGCATTCATTAAGGGTAGGGCCATTAGCTATAACATATTACTGGTGTAAGAATTAGTCAAAGATTACCATAGAAAGAATATACCTCCGAGATGTATTGTCAATATTGACATGAAAGCATTTGATTCAGTTGATTGGGGATTCATGTTTAATGTCAGGACTACAATGGGATTCCCTCATGGTTTCCTAAAGTTGATAAAAGCTTGTGTAACAACCCTAGTTATAAGAGTGGCAATCAATGGAGAGCTTTGTGGCAACATTAAGGCAAGAAAACTATTAAGGCGGGGGATCCACTATCCCCCTGCCTATTTATAATTGCTATGGAGGTCTTAGATTGTTAAGCTAAAAGAGCAATAGTGGAGAACCAAATACCTTTCCATCCTAGATGCAAACCATTGTGTATTACTCATCTATGCTTTGCAGATGATCTTGTGATGTTTACAAATGGATCGATAAGGGGGTAGCAGGAATTAGAAGATTGATGGACCATTTTTATAAGCTTTCGGGTTTAAGATGCAATCCTGTCAAGTGCAAATTATTCTGTGGAGGGATCTCAAAAGATGAAAAAAGTTTATATATGATTATACTGAGTTTCCTATTGGAAAGTTTCCCGTGAAGTATCTAGGGGTGCCTTTGATAAGTGGGAAGCTTACCTGAAAGGATTGTCAAGTGCTTGTGGATAAGATTACTCAAAGACTAAGAAGCTGGAGGAGCAAACTGCTTAGCTATGCAGGAAATATTCAACTCATCTCCACTGTTATTTCTAGCACCTTGCAGTACTGGCTTAATCTCTTCCTTCTTCCACCATTTGTTATGAAGAAGGTTGAGAGGTTGTGAAATGACTTCTTATGGAATTCAGGTGTGGAAGGGTCTCGAAAAAAGGATGTAATAGCCTGGGAAAAGTTGGCAATTCCTAGAAAGGAGGGAGGACTTGGAATACATAATTTTAGCATATGGAATAAGGCTTGCATTTTGAGGCATGGTTAGGATGTTTTGACATCTATAGGCTCTTTGTGGTTCGCATGGGTTCAAAGATACAGGCTAAGGCAGAAGACGTTTTGGGATTTGTCCTCCACCTCCACAGGTATTTGGATTTGGAAGCGGCTGTTAAAGTGCAGAGGGATTGCATCCCTTTATATCTCACGGGTTACACCTGATCTATTATGGAATGGTGAAACTATGAAGCGTTACTCAGTATCAAAAGTTTGGGACACAATTCGAGTGAAGAATCCATAAGTTTACTGGTGGAAGCTGATCTGGAGCTCATAAGTTATACCTCGGCATGGTGTGCTTGTGTGGCTGGCTTTGTGCAACAGGCTGGTTACACAAAACAAGCTCATTTCCTAGGGGAAACTGTTTCGGTTAAGTGCCTACTATGTCCTGGTAGTGATGAATCTAGGGGGCATCTGCTGATTAAGTTCGAAAAGGTTTGCTCCACCAATTATGGAAGATTGGGAGATATATGTTGACTGGTATGTGTAGAGTTGGAGTAAGAGAAGAGCCAAAATGTGTCTTTTTAGGTTGGTTTGGAGTACAACATTTAACTATATTTGGCATGAGAGGTGCATCAGAATGTATGGTAGTAAACAGATTTGTCATCCCCCCAATTTAGCCAAAAAAGTGTTAGAAGAAGTTTCTTATCGATTTCATAGTGATATTGACCTCGAGACAGAACTCGACCAATTGAATACCCTAAGTTTTAAATAGCTTTTTAGCTTGTAGTTTTTGTTTTACATAGTAGATAGAAACTTGAAGTATATCACAGTTGGAGAGGCTGCTCAGATCATTGACTGAGATTAGCTAGAGCTTAATGAATTTTTTTGATTTTGCATAAAAAATTATCTTCAATCATGATAATTACAATTTGTTTATTAAATTTAAAATAAACTTTTCGAAAAATATTATATTTGATCATGATAATTAGTGCATTTATTAATTGTAAAATGATATTTTCATCATGTCTTGAGCGACATACATGGAAATGTCCAAAACCTTTATCGATTTCCTTGAAATATGGCCCTAAATACATTATAATCTATCTTTCCCCAATTTGAGGTCCCAAGTGAAGAAAGCATGAGTAGTGCAAAAGTTTGTTGAGGTTTCGGTGCCTCGGTGGGTCAAAACATGGAGTTTCTTGGGATTAAAATGAGTCTTTTGAGACTGCAAACAGTCATTGTTAGTGGGAGTTGGAATAATATCCGGCCTATAATATAATGTCGTAGTAGGATTTGATGCATCGAGTTAGAAGGTAAGTGATTTGAGGGAAATAAGGAATTTAGGTTGGGAAGAAGTAGAAGGTAGAAGGATTATTTCTAAATATAAAAACTAACAATCTGTAAATTTAAGCACTAAACATCAATTTACACCAATATTGATATTTTCATGTACTAATTATACATAGAATTTAGAAATAAATTATTATTTTTGAATTATAAACTAAATTATGTTTAGTATTTAAATTGAAAAATTATATTTAAGTGTAGTAATTATTTTGTGCTTATTATGCTTTGGATTGCTTTGGATGTAGGTACAATGACATTAATATGCTTTGGATTGCAAAAATATTGAAGTGGCAAAAAAAAAAAATGCTTGTTCACCTTCTTGTAGCTGTAGTTATTAAGCATAATTTTCTAAATGTAAACACTAAATATAAACACTAAACATAATTAACTCTCAAATTTAAACTCTAAACATAATTCATTTTTAAGTATAAACACTATACATAATTCATTTCTAAGTTTAGACACGAAGCATAATTTCTTCTAAATTGAAACACCATACTTAATTCATTGCGATTGTTCTTTTTTATTAGTGTCGCTTCTCTATCATCGCAAAATACCCGTTGGTAATAAATAGTAATTATTGGCGTCAAATTGCAATTTTTTTGCTGCAAATTGCATGCCTCATGTAATTATCCTTGTTATAAGAACCAGGTCAGTGGCTAGACCAATAAAAACATTAAACTAGTTACAATAGCGATTCGGTTTACTTGATTGGACGGCTAAATATAAACTGAACAATTTTCAACAATTAAACATAAGAAAAGATGAACCACACCAATTATATTGTAGATGTTCTAAATTTACTAATTCTAATTCTCTTCCTTAGGCATATTTTATTTTTTAGATGTGTTATTGAATGTTGTAATTTTTATATTTTACTGATTACTTTTTGTCTCTTTTTGTTTTAAATTTTTTTCAATAACTGGAATATGTTTAATTCTTTCTGATTGTGTTCCATTCATCCTTCTTTGGTCTTGATGTATTGATGGCCGATAAGGTTCTATTTTAATTTTTTTAGTGGTGTTTTTAATTGGATTAGTGGTTTAAATAGATCTTCAAATATCGATTTTAAATATTTATTATTATCTTCTAGTATATTTATTACTCCTTCTAGATATTCGTTGATTATTTTTTACAAATTTATCTAATTTATTGAAAAACATACATCAGCCATTCTAGTAATACTATGTTTAGAAGGTTCTCTAATTGTTATATTAGTTAATACTTGTTGAAATATAGTTTTGGATGTTTTTTAAAAGTTTTGGGTACCAAAAGGTAATTAAAATTTTTGTTGGATGAAAACTTAGACGGATGTACTTCTTAGTAACTTTAATACATGGTACCCGACGCACTATTCAAAATTATATGGTATGTCTATCCCAATTCTCAAACTTAAGTGATACCCGTAATATTTTACTCTACTACCATCAAGCGGCCTATATATATAAATAATAATATACATGCACACGGTACCCTTAGCTTTGCTATAACTAGTTCTCAGAACCCAAGTGAGTTTCATTATATTGATTCATACTTGATAGATCTCGCTCCATCGCTCCCTATGGCCGCCGGCGCAGCACCAGCGACGTCAAGCGCACCCAAACGCCGGACAGCGGAGTTTCATGAAAGCGTTTGGGGGGACTTCTTCATTACTCACGTCCCCGAAACTGATGAGGTATATCTATCTATCAATTCATTTCACTTCACTTCACGATTTCAGCTTTTATTTATTTTTGTTCTGTCGAATATTACCGGCCAGCCAAATCAACTCCGGGAAAGAACCCAACTTGAGTTACATGAATCTATATCCATATTGTTTTCATTAATAAATAAAATGTAGACATGTAGTTGATAATAAGGTATCCAATAGTTTGTTTGATAAAAAAATTATGGAATGAATAAGATATGTGAAGTAACTTAAAAACTTGTTATATATGTCTTATGATTATGAGCAAGCAAGATTAGGATGAGGATTTTGACTTGATCAGTCCTATCTGACCTGTTTGAGCGGGTAATACCTTTCTTTAGGTGGGGCAGGGATGGATACTCTACTCGATCCATGTCCCGCCCATTTTTATCTATTTTGTCTAAATTATAAGATATTTTACTTTTACACGTCATATTTTAACTATGTAAGTGTGAACCTCAATATTCTCAACTAATTTGATTATATTTATAATCTCATAGTTTATTTCTCGATTTCTAAATAAATAAATAAATCAAATTCATCTATTTTCTACTTTAAATAGATGCATGTATTGGTCGACTTGTGCCAACCTGTACCCCAAGACAAAATACTCTATCTAAACCAGAGGCCTGTCATGAAATGAGTATGACTATCGAAATACATACCCACCGGACCTACACATTATATTGCCATTCCCAAGGAAGACGAAAATCTGTTAACATACATGGTCATTCTGATAATCGTTAAATCTGGTCAAAACGTTGTCTGCCAACCTGAAATTAGTTCGATATCGCTAATTATCTATGACGACTACACTAACCTCGCTAGCTCGCTCTGGCACATGTATATGTTTTTGGCAAAGGTGGTAAATGGTTGGAATGAACAAATTGAAGTACTGAAGTCCAATATAGCGAGTATGTTATCATCTCCGGCCGACAACAAAACAATGGATCTCATTGATTTGATTGAGCGACTCGGTATTGACTATCATTTTGAGGAAGAAATAGAACAAATTCTTGGACAAGAGTACGGAAATATTGCTAGCGGCGGTAACAATTACAAGGATGATGACAACCTCCAGACCGTTGCACTCCGTTTCAGACTGTTGAGGCAACATGGATGTAACGTCTCAAGTGGTACGTACATACATATCTCTCTTTCATTGGCACCATTTATTTTCGATTAGTACTGTACGTGTGTTTGCATGTTGGGAATAACCTGGCCTCTCGATCGATCTCTAATAGATATATTCAAGAGGTTCAAGAGTGATGAAGGAGATGAGTTCAAGCAAGAAATAGTGAGTGACCTGGAAGGCTTGCTGAGCTTGTACGAGGCTGGATATCTACGGACGCAGGGGGAGAGTATACTAGACGAAGCTGTCGACTTTACAAAACCACACCTAGCTGCCGCCGCCGCCGCCGCCGAGGACTCAACTCTCGCCGAGCGGATTGCCCATGCTCTGAAATGGCCCCACCGCAAAGGCATGAAAAGGGTCGAGCATCTCTTCTTCATATCTATCTATGAAAAAACTCAAGGGCACGATGAAGGACTCTTGAAGCTAGCCAAGTTGACCTTCAATGTGGTGCAACACTTGTACCAGAAGGAGCTCAGAGTTCTCACCAAGTGGTGGATCGAGCTGGATCTGCCAAAAAGGACGTCTTATGCGCGAGACAAATTGGTCGAGGTTTACTTCTGGGCGATGGGATGTTTGTGGGAGCCCAAATATTCTCTGGCCAGATACTGTTTCACCAGGGTTACGACTATCGGATCGGTTTATGATGACACATACGATGCATATGGTACCATTGAGGAACTCGAGGACTTCACGGCCGCCATCCACAGGTAATATATACATATGCATGCAGTCCAACATACTCAATCAATACTAACACGGTTTAAGTAACCGCAACAACTGTAGGTGGGACACTAGCATGCAAGGCATAGAACCAAAAATGAAAATCATTTTTGAGGCGATTACTGATTCGTACGATGCCATTCACGAAACGACAACGGAGGAATTCGGAAGATCGTATTGTTGGGATTATGGAAAATCGGCGGTACGTACATATCATGTGAAATACACCGGCTCTGTTAATTAATTAGTAGCATAATAATTCTCTACTGATCGATGATTCATTTTTTGCGGGCGTGCGTATAATATATATGCAGCTAAAATATGTTGTAAGTTTATACCTAGAAGAAGCGCGATGGCTGGACAAAGGTTATGTGCCGAGCTTAGAGGAATATAGACGTGTTTCTTCGGTTAGCACTCTCTACCAATGGTTGGCGTTTGCGGCATTCTGCGGGATGGGCGAATCTGCTCCCAAGGAAGTCTTCGATTGGTTATTCACGGAACCCAAATTGTTCGTAGCTTCCTCGGAACATTGTCGTCTGGTGGATGACGTTGAAAGCCACGAGGTAGTTATAGAATCGAAATCTAATTAAACCTTTTCCCAACAACTCGATTTTTTGGATGTGTCGAGATCATTATTCTCAATGCATGATTTTGTTGTTGTTGTTTATACATGTACCTATGTGCAGTTTGAGCAGGATAGAGGTCATGCTCCATCGTCTGTGGAGTGTTATATGCAACAATATGGTGTGTCGAGAAAGGAGGCAATCGATGTCCTGAATGACTTGGTGGAGGAGAACTGGAAGATAATAAATGGAGAGTTATTAAATCCGCCCGCTCATGTACCGAAAGAAATTCTTTTGATATTTCTTGGTTTTGCTCAGATTATGGAGGTGCTCTACGCAGATGGCGATGGCTACACCAATTCTAAGACCACCACCAAGGACATGCTTATTGCTCTGCTCGTCACTCCGTTTAATGTTTAATCCATCTTCTTAATTAACATTTTCAGATTCAAGTTTGGTTGGCTCTACTCTTTTTAATAATTACATGCAGGGTTGCATTGTTTGTAATTGATTTTGAACTTTGAACCTCGGGATGTGGATAGTGATCTATCTTCCATCGATCAATAAGAGAAACTTGTCACGTTGATTTTATGTGCAAATCTATGATCTTACATTTATTGGCTTTTGCATGTGTACTTTATAATTTTTTTTTTGCATGATTTATATATTTTAAGTTTTGTTCGATTTCTGATTGAAGATTATGCATGATAGCACTTCCGTCCGTGAATTATTCATGTTATTAATATATGTCTATCACTGTATAATTGATTCGCGCTCCGTAGCAATTTATATGTTAGTAGAGAACGAAATAATATTTTCCATAATCTTTATTTTTGGAATACAAATATAGTTTTAGATTTAATTTTTTTTTAACTTCTAGACACACATTAAAAAAAATTAATAGCAACATCAAACATTGTTGGCCGTCCAATTCCTATCGAACTAAAGCTAATAATATTTGGGTGTTTAATGATTTCATAAATCGTCCATTCGACTATTTTGGACAATGTATCATTGCCACCGTGTAGCATTTCCTAATTGGCCACATCGAAGAGATAACAACAAAACAAGAATAAGTTAGTTCGTTTTACTTAGCATAGTTAGTAAATACTCCGTTTAATACACATATATGTACCCATACGTAATTTATCCGTTTAAAACTTCCGTATCCGTATTTTTGTCAAATCATTTCATTTCCCCCGTTCATTTGATATCTCCCGTACTAACCATGTTACTTAGAGCCGTATAAGCCATGCCCAAGATTGTATCAAATAGGTTAAAAAAATGGTACGTTTACTGATGAAATCATGTTCAATCATTAACATCCCATTATCATACTACATCCCCATAGAAACGAGGCCATGAATCGGGAGACAGATATAAATTTTGAAATCAATTATTCAGGCGCACAAAACTACATGTTTTTATTTTTATTTTTGGAAGTTAAAATTCATGTCACTAAAATCATTTTGTTTCCGACCTTGAATAATATTAACCTTCAAATCATAACAAAGATACCCACATAGCCACATTACCAAAATTCATTCATTTTTGTTGCTGAACAAAACTAATGATTGTAAAATAGCACGAGAGGTTGTACAGAAAAATCAGTATGATTATTTTAGTGTTGAAACCATGTTTAATATAACTAGTAACGGTATATGATCCGTAGATAATACCTTTTCTGATTAGTTGTCATAATTATTGATTTTAGAGATGTCTATATTTCATCCTTAAAAAAATATGACGTTAGAAAAAACAAAGTATTCATGAGAAGAAAACACTGATAATATAATTGAGGCTAGGTGCTCTGCTGACACTAACTGAATTTTTTTTTACTTTAAGATACTTAACACCCCTACAGCTCCCAGTCTTCCAGCCACTGAGTCTATTTATTTAATAACACGCACGCTAATCATGCCATTACGGGAAATATTAGTTGGGATCTCATCTCTTACCCGCAAAAGATCTGAATCATCTGATGACTCCTGCCTGAAAGAAATCTAAATCCACCAAGCCGACGATTTGTCGTACGTGTGTCAATTATCTAGTAAAAAAACTAAAAATAAATATGACCAAACATGGCCGACAAAGTTTTTAATAAAATAATATCACAAAAGGAAAGGAAACAAGACAGCATGGGCAATAAATTAGGAATGTAATGTATATGATTACACAGAAACACTAAAGGATATGATACAATAAGACAGACAATTTCGTTTGTCGACTCACTTATGGAACTTATTCCATTTTAAGTTGTATTATGCCTTATGGTATTATTTAGAATAAACCCACGTGGTATCTAGCTCCTTTCAGTAAAATTAGATGTGGATCGAGATATTAAATATATATGAGAATTAAAGGTCGATAATGTAGACTAATTTGAGTCGAAAAAACTGTATATAAAAATTTAATCTAATCAAAATACGAAAAAAATTAAAGTCTGATCCCAATCGAATCGGTGTTTCATAAGTTGGAGTGGTTGATGGAAGGCTATGAAGATAGTGCTCCGTGAAGAGCCAGAGACATCATCAGCCTTGACATATCAGCGATGAGGATCTATATATCTTGGTTTAATTCAAGGTTGTCAAACCGGTTTATACCGTTGTGATGGTTTGGCAAGTGGAATGGTACGACCGGTGGTATAATCAGTTTGTGCCGGTTCATGCCGGTTAAAAAAATATGAAAACAATTACTATCTAATGTATTTAATCATATATAAAACATATTTGTGGACAATTTAGTTACAATCCAACAAATATCATCAACTTTTAGCTATTACATTCATAAAATGAATAATAAATTAATTTTTTTATTCATTAAGTTCATTAAAATGATGTCATTTTACTTAGAATGCGTAAGTCGATCATACCGGTCATACCAGTGGTGTCATGCCGGTTTCAGGACCTGTACAGGTTGAACCAGGTTCAACCGGGTGGCATGCCACCGGCATGACAACCATAGTTTAATTACTTTGCTAAGGTAATTAATATATATCTAATTGAATAAGTAACATATTTCGACCTAACTAGCTGACAATGATCCAACATATGTACGATTTTATTCGATCTGCTACCCCAAAGCTTAAGATGTAGATCTGAGTCTGACCAAGTATATACATATATAGACAGCTAATTAACTAGCCAGCACCACATGATCCCCACTTCAGTTCCAAGTTCCAACATATTCCATTTTAAGTAATTTATTGAGGAATATGATTCATATGCCGCTTGCGGTGTTCCAATGGCCATTTCCAGTGGCCGGATCCCTTTGTTCTAGCTAGCTAGCTAATGGGTGGATCGTTGGAGAACAAGCAAAAAAGGAACCTCAAAAAACCTAAAAGTAAAAGTTTGATGTGAATTGTGATATGGAATAGTAATTTAGTCTTACAAATAGAATAAAAATTAGGAGCAAGAAGATTTCATCACAAATATCAACTTACGTGAATAGAGTTCAAGTTCGAATTTCATATATTATATAGAAAAGATTGTATAGAATGTGCTACCAAAAAAAAAAAAAAAAAGATTGTATAGAATGATAGAAAATGAATGATTTCAAGAAGCCTTTTTATTTCATCAGATAAAATTTACTATTGAAACCATCCCAAGAAACTCACCACTGCTTGTTGTCTAGTCACCAAGTATGTCGATCGCTTGAAACGTAACTAGCTTAGTCAACTAGCAATATCAAACATGCTTCATATTTTCTTAAAGAATACAAATTTTCACATATGCATGACAATAGTTTACCTAACACATGTCAATTAACATATTCTCAAATCCTCCCACGCTAATGAAATGAAATACAAATTGCGCAAATCTTCAAAAAACAATCACAAGAGTAATACTACTACAAGAAACACATGATATTTGATTATCCTTAAAATCCAAACATGTCATTCAAATCCTTGTGATTTTTTAAACATCTCACCAATTTATGAGTTATTTTAACATATTTTAGGAGTGATATATGAAATGGAACAGGTCTAACGGTTCGACCCGCTCACCCACCCAACCCGACCAAAAAACTTACGGGTTATCGGTTTTGGGTCATTCGGATTTCGGGTTACAAAAATTTCTAATTTTCGGGCGGTTTCGGGTCGGGTCAACTGGTCGGGTTGTAATTTGCCAGGTCTAATCCCAACTAATAAAAATACCAATTAAAATAGATGAGCCCAAAAACGCCCATATTGCTACGATGGCTCGTCTCGTGATGAAGTTAGGTGAGTTTGTTTCGTTTAATGATTATGAGGATACATGTGACGTCGGCCGGTGCTATATTATGGAGCATAATGTCTCGACGAGGAGACACTAGGGGTGAGAAATGGTTACGATTTTGTGGTTAAACCGAAGCTGCACTGAATAAGCGCGATTAGTGATTAACCGCAAATCGTTTAAAGGGGGTCTTATACGGTCGCGGATAGCAGTATTGGTCATTTTGCGGTTTGTGAACTAACTGCAAACCTCACCGAATAACATATTAAGCGTATAAGTAACCGCATATCACCTAAACTATAGAATATTTGGCCCGACCCAATAAGAAATGGGTCATGTCGATGAGCCCAACCACCACCAACCCTCTTTCAACGTGAATCCAATCCAATCCACTATGTTCTCCCATCTTGGAGTTCGACAAATTAAATCCACACTAAATACATTTTTTCGATTTTTGTTTTCTTCAATTTCAAATACCGCGGGTAACCGCAAACCGCAATTTGTGATTAGTGGTTAAGCGCAAACCATTTGCGGTGCGGTTGCAGTTGGTGATTTTGCACTTATTCAGTTGCGGTTAACAACATCATTCGGTGTTGTTAACCGAAACTGCACCGTTTCCTATCCCTAGAGGCCACCACCTTTCTGTGAGGAGAGATTTCGGAAACTTGGAAAGACATTGTTGAATAGTAGTGCTTGAAACCAATCTCGATTCCTGTATCTGTGATGTCTCGGACTCTCTAACTTGGCCAGGGTGATCAGCGTGATGTATGGGAAGGGCGATACCTACACTTACCTTCATCTTTTGAAGGAGCACATTGCTTTCCTCTTCGATCGTCGTGTGCCATTTTCAATCATCTGGTCTATAGTTTGATTTGAACGGGCAACACTTTGAATATTTGGTTCTGATGTTTGTCTCCAGCTCCCCTACTAGTTGTTCTTCATAAAATCATTGCTAGCTTTTGTGCTTTTCGGATACAGCTACATTATTCTATTATGAAACATATCATTCGTCGTGTGGATTTTGAGCTTTACTAACTAATCAACACTTGCATAGTTTTATTAATGTTTTTCCTTCTTTATTACTACTAATAATAGTATCACTATAAAAGGAATCATCTTAGAGAACCGAAAGAGTGGTCACTAACAGTCTAACACTCAGAATTTGGTAGCCATGGGCTCCTACCTAATGAAACATATTGGTGGCAATCTTGGTCACATTGTCCTTGTCATCAAAATACTGCAGCTCACTTCACCAAAACAAATAAAGAAAACATAAATTTTGGAAATTGCCATCACTATCCGTATCATTCTTCCAGCATAAGTAAAATTGCATGGAATATTATCCAAAATAAGTAACAGTGAGTGAGGAGCGTTCAGTAGAGAATAGGAGGATTGGGAGTAGCGAATTGTAGGAAGTCAGGATCTTTTTCCAGAGCAGCCATGACTTTGTCATCTATCCTTATCCAGGCCTCGATGCCACCATTGTTATAATCGTTAATATTCCCTTCCTTTTGGGGTGCCAATTCCTTGAGGATGATCATGTCCCTGAGAGCAGCGTTGTGCCTGTGGGCCTCTCCAACAGCACCACTCCAAACTGGTTTCCCCCACCCGAAATCGATGTCACTAAACCCGAACCGGATCCAGCTGGAGCATATTAGAGTCGGTACACCTATTCCGAGCCCTTCAACCATGGCATCGAAGCCGCCTTGTTGCGATGAGAGGACATCAAGATGCTTTTCATCGACGGCTGCCACCACTGCTTCCCTTAGAAGTGGAGCCAGAGCAGAAATTGCAGTAGTTGCAGTAGTAGTAGTACTGATCATGCCCGAGTTGCAGAACGATGCTGCCATGGAGAAGAGGTTTCCAAGGGAGTGTTGAGAAAGCAATAACTCATCGTCGGTAGCCTCTCTCTTTTTCATTCTCGGCCTGAGGTTGACAGCTTGTGTGAGGCACAATGGCTTGGAGGAATTGGAAGCCGTGGCAGCTGCTATTGTGGAGCCCCATATGAAAGCCACTAAGGCTTCAGTCCTGGTCGGGATCAAAGTACTCGTAGTAGCCAGGGACCTAAGAGAGGTGATTGCATGATCGTAGAACACAAACCTCCTTGTGGCTGTCTTGATGGCATTGTCCTTGGCCTCTATCTCTTCAATCAATGGCTGAAGAACCTGGGGTGGGGAACCTTGGTGTCGAGGAGGGAAAGCAGTGGACCCACGGGACAAATCCTCGGTTGACACAGATTGTGCAGTGAGTTCTCTGCCTTCCGCGGAACCACACATTAGCAGCAATTGGCGGCAATGAGCCGCCCAAGTCCTGAGGAATATGCTCATGATTGGACCATCCACGACCTGGTGATTGAAACACAGGCCAATGGCAATGCCACCGCAGTCGAATGTGTTCATCTGAACAATAACTTGTGCAGCAGGAAGCTGCAGCTCAAGGGGGATTCGATCGTCATAATCACAATCGTCATCATCAGTCACGGTGGTTTGGTGAAAAGCAAGAGGCTCCACTGGGAGTAGCTTGTTGAGAAACTCCAACTTGGGTGGTCGCAGAAACTCTGCAAGACTGTGACCCTGCACTCGGGACTCGATGAAGGGAGCCCCCGCCTCGAAGTTTTCGATCACGACGCCGTCCTTCACCCTCCCTGATAGTGGGTAGTAGGAGGTGAGGGTGAGCGACAGCGATTCTCTTAGCTTGCTGGACATGATTTCAGGGCTCCATTCCCAGCTACTGGCCGTTTCCATGGTGTAGAAGAGGATTAGTGGGGTATAGGTTGCGGCTGTGACTAGTTGGTCCAGAGAGCAGAGTTTGAAAGGAGGCCTCAACTCATGATCATCTTCCGATACTAAGGATGAATACTTGTACCACGATGGTTTCACCTTCTCCACTGACTTCACCACAACTTCCATTGACTTGTTGCCCTCCTTCATTTCTGGCAATTTACGCAGCACGTAAATCAAACTATACTAAGAACAGAACCCGTTAATTAATTAATTAATTAATTAAACAACAGCTACCAAGAATTATATATATATGGAGTCTAGCTAATTATGAACTCTCAGCTCAGATCTGCTTGACAATTAATGAAAGATCTACTACATAACCAGAGATCACTAACTAAACACCCGACCCAGTACTCCAACTCAGTAGGAAACAAACCATGCATATGCTAACTAACAGCAGAATGAAATTTAAACATACATAAGTATGAAAATTAATATGTTCGTTCACTATATATCAACACACCTCACTCAGAAAACTCGTCGGCGACGGTTGCCGGAATTTGCAGAAGCCTTGGCCGACAGATTCTTCTTGCCCTTTCTGTTAATGTTTCTTCTTTCGCCCTTGAAACTCAGGGAGACTTGTTTAATTCATAGTGATATATATATATATATATTGCGTTGCCCTGGCTTGAGATGATGTTGATGATCTGCAAATGACAGCACACCTTATCTGCCCGGCCATGTGCATGAGTTGAATATATATATATATTATTTGTTAACATCTCATCTCGTGATTCTCGATGCCTAGAATTAGTTATTGGAATCCATGCTCTGCGTACCAGCACATGGTGCGGTCATATTGCATCTCGAGAGTGTATAATTAATGGGCACGACCGTCACGGCCCAGCTTGTGCGTTGCGTGCGCGACTTCAGCATGTTATTTGGGTTCGGGTTTTGGGTCTGGTCTGTAACCATTTCCTTTGCCAGATTGGATTAGGTTTAGACCCACATGGAGAAGTACTATAAATACTTCTCATACTCCTCTGTAATCTGTAATCTCCTCGATATAGTGAAACTGGCTCTCTCTCGCCCGTGGACGTAGCTAACACACATCGTGTTAGTGAACCACGTAAATCGTGTTTCTGTGTTTTTCGATTCTCGCTTTCGTATTCTTGCTTTATTGATTCCGGCGATTTCCCGATCCGTAGCAGCGCGTTTATAACAAGTGGTATCAGAGCTGCGGCTGGAAATCAGGTTAGGGTTTTCGATTCGGAAGAATGACGTCGGTGAACATGAAGATCAAAAAGTTCACGGGGAAGAACAGCTTCGCTATATGGTAGATCAAGATGCAGGCTTTATTAAAACAACAAGGGCTGTGGGGGCCGCTGTCTGCGAAACAGAAGAATGTAGCGGTCGATGACGATGAGTGGAATACCCTGGAGGAGAAGGCCCACTTGACCATCATGCTATCGCTGTCCGATGACGTCATCATTAAAGTTGCTGCTGAGAAGACTGCCGCGGGCTCGTGGTTGAAACTAGAGAGTCTGTACATGACTAAGTCTCTAACCAACAAGCTGCATCTCAAGAAAAACGGTTGTTTAGCTTGAGGATGCAAGAAGGTATGCCTTTGAGGGAACATCTCGAACAGTTTAACTCTATTTTGCTGGATCTGCGTAATATAGATGTTCAAGTTGATGACGAGGATGTTGCCCTAATTCTACTGGTTTCTTTGTCGAGTTCATATGAGAATTTCGTTGATTCTTTTATTGTTGGTAAAGAAAGCGTGTCGTTGGAGGATGTCAGGTCTGCTCTTCATATAAGAGAGATCAGGAATAAGGCGTCTGGATCTGGTACAGTTGGTGAGGCATCGGGTTTGGCTGTTACAGGTGGAAAGGGAAAGAAGAAATCTGGTAAAGGGAATTCGAACAAGAATTCCAAGGGTCCCGGTCCACAGCCAGGTGATGCTTGTCACAACTGTAAGGAAGTGGGGCATTGGAAGTACAATTGTCCCAAGAGAAGAGGGCAACAGAAGAAACAAGGTTCAGTTGCCGTGGCAGAAGTGGACAACAGTTCTGAAGACGATCTCGCCTTGGCTGTAGATGAGAAGAAACATCGTAGGGATGTGTGGTTTCTGGATACTGCAGCCTCATACCATATGTCTCCGAACAGGGATTGCTTCACAACCTGGCTGTAGTTTCTGGCTGTAGTTTGAGTGCAATATACTTGGCCAAGGATCAAGTCCACCATGAGAGGACTAAGCACATCGACGTGAGGTATCATTTCTTGAGGACAGAGAAGAGGATTAAGGCGAAGAAGGTTGGTACCGCGGATAATCCTGCTGATATGTTCACGAAGCCGGTTCCACATGGCAAGTTCAAACACTGCTTGGACTTGCTGAATGTCTTGAGTGGGTGACTCCGCCCTACGGGGAATTGATGGCGGGAGAGAGATAGAAGGAGCAGAGTACATCAGAGATTTCAGAGGAAGAGGATTCAAGTCAAGGTGGAGATTTGTTGATATGACTTGAACAGGATTATCAGCCGCTACGACTGGTAATCGGGGGTCTTGCTATAATCTGTAATCTCCTCGATATAGTGAAACTGGCTCTCTCTCACCCATGGATGTAACTAACACACATCGTGTTAGTGAACCACGTAAATCGTGTGTCTGTGTTTTTCGATTATCGCTTTCGTATTCTTGCTCTGCGTACCAGCACATGGTGCGGTCATATTGGATCTCGAGAGTGTATAATTAATGGGCATGGCCCAACCGTCACGGCCCAGCTTGTGCGTTGCGTGCGCGACTTCAGCCTATTTCCTTGTTGCTTGTCCACATTTTGTTACCCTAGGAGATTGTAGCATAGGGTATATATCTGATGTAAAAAGCACAAATAATAAAACCTTACCCGAAGAGCAAATCCTCCCGTGGACTAGTCTTGATTCTCAGGGAAACCACGTAAATCCTGCGTCGTTCACCTTTCATTTTAGCACGAGTCATCTACATGTAAGTAGTCTCTTCACACCCTCCAACTACGGTGAATGGGTATTGGAGATGACCGATGCCTTGGTCATGAAGCATAAAATTGGCTTCGTTGATGGGAGTGTTCCTCGGCCAGAAGCGGGATCTCCCCATGTTGGTTAGTAGCTGCGACGCGCTCGTTAAAGGTTGGTTGCGAACGGCCATGGATGTCGAGCTTCGCCACAGCATGATGCATGCAAAGACTGTATTCAAGAGATTTGCGAAGACCTGCGAGATCATTTTAGCAAGGGTAATCTGACCCGAGCCTATGAGTTACGTTGGCATGTGAGTCTTTTCCAACCAGAAAAGCAGTCAGTCTCTACTTTTCATACCAAGCTCCGCAGGATTTGGGAAGAAACTCAATCCATCCTGCCGCCGCCGATATGCTCCTGTTGTCATCGTGGTGGCGACCTAAATGAGAGTCTGCGACTCCTTGATTTTATGTTGAGCCTTGATGAGTCCTACTCTACCATTCGCAGTCAGATTCTCTCGATGATAGTGACACCATCGCTCCCGGAAGCGTTCCGCATTGTTTACAATGAGGAGCAACAAAGGAACTTGACTCAGAATCGCAATCCAATCCTCGAGGCCGCGACATTTGCAGCTCGCGGAGACAATGATCGTATGGCTGCTGGATATCGAGGGTTACAAGAACGAGGAGCTTGCGCTAGTGACAAGTAGAGGCATGTTTGTAGTCACTGCGGAGACAATGATATTATGAAGTGGAGAGTGAAGAAACTTAGTTGTGTTACCCTAGGAGATTGTAGAAGAAACTTAGTTGTGTTACCCTAGGAGATTGTATTATGAATATGGATTTGATGTATAGGTCAGTGATAACAAGGCTTCACAATTTTTATTTTGCTTGTTTCATGGTGGATAAGCTGTAATTTGAGGTATAGGTCAGTGACAACGAGGACAAACGAACACCGAATGCGTTCCGAATTTGGGTGAAATGACATGGGATGGGCTCTGTTTTGTCCTCTGCCTTTCCGAATCTGATTCTTGTGAATCGTTTTGTTGGCACAGGAGCAAGAAGCTTTGGCAGATCTCATGAGGAAAGAAGTTTGTTGTCAGGAAGAAGATTGATTCAGTGAACAAGTAACTGAAGCCACTAGGGCAATCAGTCCCGAAGAAGGTATAGATATAATAATAAGGTTATATAATATTGAGTGAAGTTATTTAGAGTTGTTAACTATTTTGTTGCTCTTTTAGTGTGTTGGCAGGAGGATGACATGGTTTGAGTACATGTTGAGTGAAGTTATGATCCCCATATGTTTTTTACGAGAGAAGTTATGAAGTGTATACTAGTTCCTGCCTTGAGAACAAGGCATTTGGGCTAGTCTTTTTCAGTCCTTTAAGCTTCTAGCCTCTTTGTTCACGTTCTGTTGGATTTGAGTTTAACTAACTTTTCATTGATGTCTGAAATTTTAATTAGCCTGATTTCTTCTCTAGCGCATCAATAGTATTGTTGACAAAATTCCATACCTGATTAACCAAACCATCTTTACAATTCCAATACTGCTACCTTGTTATGTCTCTGTTTATGTTTCTTTTTCTTTGTTTCGTCTCTTGGGTTCAAGTTTGATATTGCACCATGTAGTGATGAAGATCAGATCATACAAGGTTATATAATATTGGTATTTTTTATTGTTGTTCATGACAGATACAAAGGTGCAAGATGTCTCGGATGGAGTCGATGGCACATATTTTTTCGGTAGAAGAAGGATGATTTTGAACAGTTAACTCTAGATTGATCGACAGTCTTAATGTTGACTTTAGACCCATAGAAGTAATAATTAGTTAGCTTATTGAGGAGATGTAGATTGTAACAGTATAGAATTATTGACTACAAGATTTGATGACTTTCGATTGTTGATAATAATATTATTTTGTTGTTATTTGGTGGTCAGAAACTTTAATACATGGTTTCTATAACTAATAATGAAAGCCACGATGCAGAGACTTTGAGTCTTTGACTTTGTTTCCCCAATAATTCCTCTCTTCCAAAATTTTGTTTCCCCAAATCTTTTTGACAAGTCGGGCAAATAATTCCCCTCCTCCAAAAGTTTCTGTTTGTTTAACTTGAATTGGTTTATCTTTTATTTTTTAATATATTCAATAGGATTGCAATTCAAGATGGTTTCCTTCCTCACTTTCCTTTATCGATACAAATATATAATCATACAAACGTCCATTTGATGATATATTCTATACCTAGTAATAGTATAAAGTCTTGGTGGTCACCTTAATAGATCTTTACTGTATTGTGCTAGCTTCATGTAGTTACGATTTACGATTTACGGCTTACTAATAATCACTAAAAAGTAACGCGATGTGCTGGTCCGTAAAACCCGCAGCCCGACGCGCAACCCGATTGACCCGCACCAGATTGACCCGTAACCTGATTGGCCCGCAACTCGATTGACCCGCAGTTCGATTGACCCATAAACCGATTGACCCGCAACCCGAGTGACCCACAAATAGATCAACCCGTAACCCGAATGAACCCAGCCCGAACCCGCCCGATTGACACCTCTACCCATACCCAATCCATTATCAATGAGTACTTTGATTTAGGTATATTTACCCATGGGTGGGTAATTGCCATCCCTAGTCACGTTC